AAATATTTGAGTCGGTTCCTATCGCGTCAAGCACTGACGCTGATTTACAACTCATATATTCTTACTCAGATAAACTATGCCTCTGTAATTTATTGTGGAAGTACACAAAAAGTTCTTGAACCACTACATACAATACAATATAATGCAGCATTAGCTGCTAGTGGAGCGATGAGAGGTACTTCGTATGAGAAAGTGTGCATAGAATCAGGATGGATTCCACTAACTGTTAAGCACACAAATACAGTTGAACCGTTAGTTAAATATTCCATTTTTGAAATACATCGTCTTTGTTTGTTTTTTAAAATATTAAGAGGTAGAACTCTCATTGATTTACCATCTTCCTTCATTCAACACACTACTTATACGCAAGAGCATAATCTTCGTAGTCAAAGTAGAAATATTTTGTCTTCTACTAAAGCTGGTCTGCAAGTGTATGATAGATCCTTTTTACCGGCGGCTAAGAAACTTTGGAATGATTTACCGAATGAATATCGAATGATAAACAGCTTTTTTACTTTTAAAATTGGGCTAAAAGCTCCATATGCTTTAAAGTTTAAATTGAAACCTACACAATTTAGAATGTCTGAGATTCACTTTACACGCTTTAGAGTAGAATTCAGTCAATTAAATTATGATCTTTACAAACGTAAATTACAATCATCTCCATTTTGCACATGCGGTTCTGTAGAAGAAACCACTGGACATTTTTAGAGTGTTCTCGATATGCAAATGAACGTCAAAAGTTAAAATCTGTTTTTAAAAGTATTCTTCATATTCAGACTTTAACAGTAGACCACATTTTATTAAAGGATGATGCAATTACTGAACTAGACTTTGATAATATACATTACCTGTTTCATAGCGTGCTAGAATATATTACAGATACTCGACGCTTCCACTAGTACTGTATCTGGTAGCTTGTTTGCTTGCTTTAAAGTCACTATCAACACCAACTGACTCTATTTGACACATAGGAGCACTCTCCTCTACTGTTCAAAAATTTGTCTTCTTCTATCTTTTCTACTGTTTTTTCTTACCTTTTTTTAAATTTTACTTTTTGACAGCATGTAATGGGAGAAAGCCCGATTTGCTGTATTTTTTTTAAATAAAAATTCAGCTGCTTAAAAATAAACTCGAACTAGAAACATGTTCTACATTTCGCATTTACCTGGTTTTGTTCATTTCTTAACGCTCTTTCAGAATATATACGAATGAGCATATAAAGTTCAACTAGGAAAAAGTTCCAAAAGGAAAACTATTTTTGGTCGTATTTTCGACATGTTCGGAAAAATTTAGCATGTTGACCGCCAAGATTCGTTCAAAATGCGGAAAAAAGGTTCTAAAATGAACAAGCGCGTATTTTTCCATCATCCTAGCACAACAAAGTCAGTGGCCGGAAATTCAGTCTTAAGCGCACTCCTCCTTTGACTCTTAAGAGACGATTTTATTACTCAATCCCAAATATATAACAGTGGCTTTTGAATTGGGAGTTATCAATGCTTTAAAAATCATTTTTCCAAATTCAATCATCAAAGTGTGCAATTTTCGTTTCAATCAATGCCTATTACAAAAGCTGAAAGAATTAGACTTTCAAAAACAATATAATGATTCAGATGATAATGACTTAGAAAGTGTTAAAGCACTATTTCAACGTACAGCTGCATTATCATTCGTACCATTAGATGAAATTGACGCTTTATAGTGTTTAATAATGAATGGTTATTCACATCCAGTGAATATTACATCATTCTATTGTGTCACAGAGACATGGATCGATAATGAGCAGGCAATGTTCGAGAAACCTCTCTGGAATTATTACGATTTTCCTGGCGCCAGAACGAACAATTCAGTTGAAGGATGGCATCATCGGCTAAACTCACAAATTGGTGTCATCCATCCAAATTTATCTTTATTCATTAAAGAAATAAAAATGACTACGCATTCAATGTAACAAGCTGTGACTGAACAAAGAAAAGTACCACGGCGGAAAATTTATGTGATCAGAAATGTGCGGATTTTGGATTTAATGGAACGTTATAAAAAAAGGTGCATTTACTACGGACGATTATCTAGCAAAAATTAGTAAAATAATTGGTAAAAAACATAAGAAAATACCAATAACAGATGAACCAACAATAGCTCTGTAAAGTTTTCTGTGAAGTATGCTACTATTTTTCACATAAATTTCGAATAGTATGAAGAGAGCTGCTTAAATGGTTGAGAAATAGATCAACATTACACCACTGAGGTCTATAGCTTAAGTTAAATAGAACACATTTTGACGGAGAAAGTTTCAAATTAAAAAAACACGTTTCAAAATCCTTATCTTCTAAAAGTAGAGATCTTTTACACACTACACCTTTTCTAATAAGAACCAATATACCCCGACCTCTCTGTCCTTCTCTATCTTTACGAATAAAGATCTCATAGCCATCAAGAACTAACTGGCTAATATCATTTTCTGAACTTAACCAAGTTTTAACAATTCCAACGACCAACGGCTTCCTTCGTATAACTTCCAATTTTAGTAATTCAATCTTATTCATAGGCTCATCTATATTTGATAGAATATTACTTGCATTAAGAAACAAGATCCTCTCACCAGCATCTGCACTGATAGCTGTTTTTTTATCCATAAGTATACGCATAACACCAACTGACAACTATCATAAGACACAGAATGGTATAGGAACATATCAAATACAATTGTGTAGAAACAATGTTAATATATAAGCTGTCAAAACTTATTCTACGCATGCATATGAATACAAACGTGTTATATAGCACAAAAATAAAATGACTTTGCTCTCCTATCGAAACCTGAATATATAAAAGAAGAAGAGGAAGAAAAAAAGACGAGACAAAAAAGACTAGAGACATAACTATATAAAACCACGTGTATATCGGGTTACTACGTACAAATTTAACTATCTACTTCATGCTGTTTGGCTCGCCTTATCTACATCACTTAGAGATCTCAAAAAGACTGGTTTATTCGTCTGATATGAATAATAGAAAGGCATACCATCTTTTGTATATAAATAAACATTCTTCAATTGTGATTGAGCATATTTCAACAAATTTAAATTATCTGTTGTTAACATCTGTTGTCAAAATGACAACTTTTTTGGAAAAAGAGGGGGCGGGTTACCCTTAACTGATGATAAAATATTTGTAACAATTCCCTGCACAACGCATGTCAATTCATTTTAAATCATATATACCTATGGTAAGTGCATTTCTATCATTAGTCCGAAAATTGCATTTCGTAATAACACTCAGCCGCTAGTTTCAAGTTTCTTTTGTTTCGTTATTGATGTTATCAAGATTTTTGTTTTCTTTCTTATTTGAATGTAAACGCGAGATAGCATATACACGTGCGGTAAATGAAACAACGTGAACAACAAAAAATGAGTGCCGTCTTTAGTTATTCATTTTTATTATATAAAAAGTCAGATCAAG